GAAGAAGATGGGCATCCTGCCACCGGCCGCACCAGTCTCATCCATCGCCAAGGGTACGTTCGACGCATTTTTTTACAGAAAACTTGTCGTCGGGCCAAGTTGAAGCTTTGGACGGGCTGTTCTCAGCAACCAATCACTAGACTAGAGGAGCAGTTCGCCCCACGCCCAATGCGGTCGCCTTAAGGCCACGCAGACGGGATGTTAAGTCATTGGATAGTTACCTTCAAAATGTAGTCGTTTACATTCACTAACGCAGCCAGAGACCGACATCTTTGTATGATAAATTCTTCATTCTCCTTAATACAATGATACAGTGCCCGTGCATATTTGAAAAAAAAGTATACAATCGACCATTATCTTCTACACATTTATTTATATATATAATAACATGACAAAACGACAAAGGTGTTGATACGGGGCTGATTATTCACGGGTGTGCGTCAGTGCGTGTGTCAACCACGAAGAAGAGAAAAGTATGCGCGCGCGACGAGCGATCCGTCCCTGTCGCGCGCGAGTAAACGGGGAGAACACACACGCGCGGTGCGCCCAGCGCGAACGTTGTACGTGCAACACCGCACACGCACAGGGGACCGGACCGAAAAGACGACAGGAACACGGCTGCCGCTGGCAGGAACAAGTGGAGGAGGCCGCGCAAAGTCAACGGGAACCCGATGCCCAACCGAACCCACGCACTCCTGCCGGGCTGCTGCCGCTGCGGTTGCCTCGCTTTTCATGCGCAGGCTCACGCGCAGCTCGTGGCCGTGGGCGCGACGCCTAAAAACGTGGCAACCGCAGCGGAGCGAGCGCGAGCTGCGTCACCGGCGGACGCCGCGCCGGATGCAATCCAATCGATCCGGGCGGGCTCAATCGATGAATGATTCGTCCACCACCCGCCGGTTGGGGCAGATTTCATTTCGCTCGCGGACGACGAACGAAACCCGCCTGCATGCGCGAGGCCGGTTGCTTCCGCTGGCTCTGGCTGAAAGGAAGCTTCGGTTTGGTTGGAGAACAGCAGGATCGTGCGGCGATTAGCGGAGCTGGAGGGCACGTTTTACACCTGTTCGTTTAATCGTTTACGTGGCTTATAAGCTGGTTGATGTTGTATTATTGTGAGAGAAAAACACTATATCATGGCTGATATGATCGAGCGAACAGGATGTTAGGTTTGACCTGCCGGCGGATCGCGTTTGGAGTAGCATTTGCTAGTGCTTGATGATTTCCTGCTATGGTATTTTATGGGGGCGATGAAAAAGCAACTCCTCTGCGATCTTATCCTGCATTTTATTACGTACTGCTCGTTCAGGAGTTTAAACTTCGATCTTCTGTCATCCTGTACCCTAGTAGCGCAAGGTTTTTTCCGATAAAGAGAATGGGGAAGAGGCGTGTGGGCACCGAAGTGTCAGAGTTGACTCCCGATATGTTTGGACGCCATGTCTATTTATGTTCTTTTATAGACAGCTAGTAGTATCTACACTCTGTGGCACCGAAGACTCCAACTTGTTCTCCCATGTGGTGGATACGGAAACGGTGACACGGAACCCATTATTAGAACACAAAATTGGTTAAGCAGAATATATCAATCAAAGTCTACTTGTATTTTCCATTTCAAAAGTATCCATCTCTTTCAAATTTAGGCCCCCTTTGGAATGCTGGATCGGAAAAACGTAGAAACAGGAAAAATACAGAAATAGGATAGGAATAAATGTGAAAAATAGAGAATTTTTGTTGGAAGGGATGTTTGATTGAGTACAGGATAAAATTAGAAAACCAATACAATGAGTTGTCACCGAATATTTTTTCCTTTGTTTATCATGTGAAAGTTAAAGAATAGAAAACTTTCCTATGGTTTTTCTTTCCTTATTTCATGTGAACCAAAGGCCTCTGCAGTAATGATTTCACAATATTACTTATTTCTATATTTTTTCTTTAAAAATACTGTGAACCAAAGGGGCTTTAGTGGTGCTGCACTATTTAGGGTGTTTGGTTTCCGGGACTAAAGTTTAATCCCTGTCGCCTCGGACATTCAGATGATAATTAACAGGATTAAACACCCGTTTACTTCTTGAAACCAGGCCGAGCAAAGCGACGCGCCGACGCCCGACGAGATGATGACCCGACTCGACGGGGCCCACCACCCAACGGTCAAACATCGCATCGGACGGCTCAGCTCAGCTCACCCTCCGATCAGGCGGTTTTGTCTCCGTCGCGGCCCCATGCGTCAGACACGACACGACTCGCCTAGTAGCACTCCTGCCGTCGCCACCACGTCTGCTGGCGCTGCCATTTTTTCAGCTCATCGCTCGCACCGATGACTTTCTCGCTCGGCCTCGGCCACTACTTTCTCACCCGTTCCATTCCACGCTCTCTCTTCTTTCTAGAAAGACAGATGCTTTTGCCAGAGGAGAAAGTGAGCTTGACGTCCTCGAAATTTGATGGCCAGTTCATCCTTCCTTTGTTTTGAAATGATGGCGCGGAGACATATGGGGGAAATCAGCATCAGGAGCCACGTCAAAGTTTGCTCAAAACGGACAAACAATGTACACTAGAGCTTCCTCCTCGAAAGTTTACTCAATATCCAATCAAATATTTGACACATAAATAAAGTATTAAATATAAACTAAAAAATAACTAATTACATAGTTTACAACTAATTTACTAGACGAATCTTTTAAGCATAATTAGTCCATGTGTTTGATAATGTTATGCTATAGTCACATATGTGTTAATGATAGATTAATTAAGCTTAATAAATTTGTATCAGTGGATTACTAATAAATTCTATAATTTATTTTTTTAGTATCAAACACCCCCATACGACACCTTCATGTACCATCCGATGTAACACCTAAAATTTTACACCCTAAATTTAATCAAGGCCTTACTACAGTTTCGATGTAAAATCACGTCTCTATGAAGATGCGATGAACACCAAGTTTGTGCGAGGAAAACGCAGATAATACTAGTAGGAGTATATATCATCCAGACCACAACCTATGGGTATATTTTTATTCCGATTGATCCGTATCGGTGCTGGATTTGTTCGGCTGATTATGTCAGATGCCACTACAACCACTTCGGCTATTTGCAGCATGGCGTGATAGTTTAAGGGATCGGTGCATCGCGTGGCCTCCTTTTGTTACTGCAACAGGGACACAGCAGGGTTGTACTTTCAAGATCGGTCCAGCAGCCCCCTCTGTTTTTTCTAATGCAACTTGCCAACTTTGTTGAGAAAACGTTTGCCCAAGGTGAAATTTTGTTCTCGAAAAACGATCGCGAATTCGCCCCAAACCGTAGATTTTGTGAAGCTACTTGCCTTTTGTTAGTGATTGATCCGTGTAGCTACTTGCCCTTTGTTAGCGATTGATCCGTGTAAACGCATTGCCTAGGATAGTTGTCAAATCAAATATATATTATTCATAATCAAGCGCGCAGAGCGTCCTGCAGTTTTTTTATTTATAAATATATAAAAGAAAGGGAAGACTTGCTTGTCCTTTGGTCACAATAATTAATGTAAGCGATTAATCTAGCACATAATTGCGTCGAAAAATGATTCAACTCCTGATCACGCCAGATATGCCAGCTCTAACACAGTTCGTCAACGGGCTAAAGAAACGCATAAAAAAAATCAGGAGAGCGCGAAAGTTCTCAGAGTAGGCGTGCAAATACCTCTGCCCCAGATCATTAGAAAATTAAGGGGACAACATCTCCAAGGGATACTGCTAAAGCGAGGAATAGTGCTCCTTTTTATCATGCCTATTATTTTACTAACTTAATTAATGCTTAAAACACTTGTGCGCCATCATTATTCCCCTCTCCATAGTTGACTTCCAAGCCAAGACACATAGGACTATTCTAGTATTTTTCTCTTTTTCTTTCTTTCTCTGCGGTGCTGGGAATAAAGGCTTAGAAAACTGATTTCTTCTTATCTTCAAAGTCCACTATCTCATGGCCAAGACGTCACCATCATTCACACCCACATTTGAGCATTTTACTCACAACACCCCATCTTTCTCTCAATTATTGGGGGCCGATTCAAGAGATTTGGAGAGGTGAGATGAGGGGGTTTGTATACCACGGACCAATGCATACGATTTACGAGTGCTTTACGGTCCGAAAAGACTAATAGTTTGTTGTTACTGTGCTACTCCGTGCTATTTGGCTCAAATTTCTTTGAACACAGGCTCATCAGACTTGATTCAGACATCTTACGGAAGAAAGAAACCGTCTTAACGTAAATAATCCTTTTAAGCAAATGCACGTATTGATCTCGATCAAGTGATTGAATACACTTTCGAAGGGACTCGTCCTTTCTTTAATTATTCATAATTAACAACAAACCGTTGTTCAATCATTTAAACGTTGTTAACTTATTACTACTCATTACAAAGCATCATAGATGTGGTTCTAATTATAAATATGGTTTCACTTTATAAATCCATTTATGCTGCTTGGTTACATTCACGGAAAAATAGTTTACACTTATACTCCCTTCATTATATCTTTTTATTTGTCGCTATGGTATTGATCAAATTTTTCTTAAGTCTGACTAGGTTTTGTAAAAAATATTAGAGTATCTGATGATATTAATTATGTATCATAAATATTAATATTTTTTATATATTTAATCAAATTTTATTTGGCGCGAATTGAGACCCACAAATAAAAATACCACCACTTGTGACTCTACTCCGACTTCCGAGATCTAACAGTGCCTCACTGGACCTCAAAAAACCAATACAGTGCCTGGCTGCCTGGCCAAAGTGGCAAAGGTGAGGTAGTGAAGGTGACCACATCGATATTTGGAGGAATCCAACGGGCTCCTCCACAAAAAAACGGTAGCATCCATTGACTCACATCTTCCCCTGCTCTCACCATTTCCACCTATAAAAGCCGGGCCGCAGCCTCCTCTCCGACCTCCACCTCCCAACCCAATCTCCTCAGACTCAGAGAGCCCCAAGCCAAGATCTGCGCGGCAAGTCACCGGCGAAGCACCGGCTCCCATGGCCGTGGACCTGATGGGCTGCTACGCCCCGCGCCGCGCCGACGACCGGCTCGCCATCCAGGAGGCGGCGGCGGAAAGTCTCCGCAGCCTGGAGCTCCTGGTGTCGTCCCTGTCCACCCAGGCCGCCGCGCCGCACAAGGCCGCTCATCACCTGCAGCAGCAGCCGTTCGGCGAGATCGCCGACCAGGCCGTCTCCAAGTTCCGCAAGGTCATCTCCATCCTCGACCGCACCGGCCACGCCCGCTTCCGCCGCGGGCCCGTCGAGTCGCCGCCGCGGGCGGCCGCGGCGCCTCCGGTCGTCGCCGCTCCTGTCCCCGCTCCCGCTCTAACCCTGGCGCCACTGGCTCACGTGGCGCCCGTCAGTGTGGCGCAGCCGTCGCCCGCCGCGCACCCGCAGAGCCTGACGCTGGACTTCACGAAGCCGAACCTGACCATGTCGGGCGCCACGTCCGTCACCTCCACGTCGTTCTTCTCGTCGGTGACGGCCGGCGAGGGCAGCGTCTCCAAGGGCCGGAGCCTGATGTCCTCCGGCAAGCCGCCGCTGTCCGGCCACAAGCGGAAGCCCTGCGCCGGCGCGCACTCCGAGGCCACCACAAACGGCAGCCGCTGCCACTGCTCCAAGAGAAGGTAACGGCGCGATATGCAAATTAGGCTTCCTCAAAAACACCACGGTCGTCTGTAGCTAGCTTGCCTTCTCACGGTACTTTTTATTTTTGATTTGACAGGAAAAACCGCGTGAAGAGGACCATCAGAGTGCCGGCGATCAGCTCGAAGATCGCCGACATCCCGTCGGACGAGTACTCGTGGAGGAAGTACGGCCAGAAGCCCATCAAGGGCTCCCCCTACCCACGGTAAATTTCCTCCGCCGGTGTCCGGACCTCGCATCGCTCGTCTCGTCTCATCCGTTGTCGCGCAACGAATCTGACTGTTCTCGGGTCATGTGGTCCACAGGGGCTACTACAAGTGCAGCACTGTGCGGGGATGCCCGGCGAGGAAGCACGTGGAGCGCGCCACCGACGACCCGGCCATGCTGGTGGTGACCTACGAGGGCGAGCACCGCCACACCCCCGGCGCGGCCGGGCCGAGCCCCCTGGCGACCGCGTCGCCGGTCGCCGCCGCTGTCTCCGTCTCCGGCGGCAACGGGCATGTCTAGTCTGAAGCTAGGATTAGCTTCTCTCTTCTTTTTTGAGCTGCTTCCCCCCGATCTGATGTCCGTGTAAAAAAAGAAACAAGGTTGTTGAAAGAGGGAGAAGAGGACACCTTCGATGCCGCAAAAACTCAAAAACTTCAAATCGTATCTCCTATTGGTGCTCGCTCACGCTTCCGTTTTCTGTTGTTCTGAAATACGGAGTAGCCCTCAAAATCACACGAAAATCACGCCCGCTGACCCGCAGATCTGAGTCATCATGCAGCTCTACAGCGTGTTCGGGAGGTCGTATCGTGAATTATTTACTGCTAGCTGGTTTGGTGTGAGAGAAAAACACTATTCTTAACTGGAAATTTACGATCGTTAGTATCTGCGACTGTAAAATTATGATCCGTGGTTAGGAACAGTTTAACAACGACGGAGGACGAAACCATTGACCAGAGATTAAATACGGCGCAGCGGCGCTGTTGTCCGGGACAGCTCATCATCCGCTGCCGCTACAGCAGATGTTTTTTGTCTTCTTTATATCTTTATTCATTAATTTATTTATTTAAGAAAAGAGATCGGAAGCGCCAAGAAGGTCGTAGGCAGCCGCTGCCCGCCTGCCTTCTGTGCAGAGGTCAAGCCTAGTGGGGGTGGGGCGCACCAGCCTGTGTGTGGGTGCCTTTACTTTTCTATCCTCCCCCATCCACGCGGGGCCCACGGGATAGGATGGGATGGGGCGCCGTGGTCAAAGGTGACGGGTGAGGGGTCGCTTTCCCGGCGGGGCTGCCTGCACTGCAGCACCTAGTTGACCGCAACCAGTCTGCAGGAGTGTTTTCTTTTGAGGCCTCGTTTAGGCCTTGTATAGATTGCTGATAGGAATCAGTATTTGATACTATAGCATTTTCATTTGTATTTGATAATTATTGTTTAATCATGGTCTAACTAGGCTCAAAAGATTCGTCTCGTAATTTACAATCAAACTATATAATTAGTTATTTTTTTATTTATATTTAATACTCCATGTATGTGTCCAAAGATTTGATGTGATGGAGAGAGAATGAAAAAACTTGCAATCTAAACAAGGCCTTAGATTGCAAGTTTTTTCACTCTTTTCATCACATCAAATCTTTGACATATGCATGAAGTATTAAATATAGATAAAAAAATAATTAATTACACAGTTTGATTATAAATTACGAGACGAATCTTTTGAGTCTAGTTAGAGCCATAATTGGACAATAATTGTCAAATACAAACGAAAGTACTACAGTGCCAAATACTGATTTCTAAAGGTAGTCCCAATAAAAATAACTAGATAGTTTCTATAACATAGATACCGCATCAAAAAAGTACTGCTTTCCAACTCATGATTTTTATAAGTAATAATTATTTTCTCTTTCTCTCTCCCAACTCTATCTTTTTTCTTCAATGGAAGTGCGACACGAGGTCCCTAAAAACTGGTGGTTTCTCCTCAATGGCGATTTCATGGTTTCTTGGTGCATTGGGTGAAGAGTAGACCTGATTTCTTTATGAGGAAATCATTTCTATGATTTTTGCTCTCTTTCTTCATTAATTACGTTGCTATGTCAGCGTTTTACCTATGTAACAAGTTATTTAATGAGGATAAAACCATCATCAATATATCGTTGGGACTGCCCTGACCCCGATCTAAACAAATCATGAGTTCATTTCGCAGCTTTGCCTTTGGCTTGCCCTGGCCTCGAGGACCCGGTGGTGGGCCCCGTGCCGCGTCTGCCCATGAGAGAGAGAGAGAGGGGGGTACGCCAGGACGGGAGGTGCAGCTCATATTCAACGCCTCGGGCTGCTCGCTGGCCCGCCCGCCCGTCTGCGTCTTTTGTTGTTTCCGGAGGTGGGCCTGGGCCGGACGGGCCTCGCGCCCCATCCGTTGATTCAGCTGAACCTACCGTGCGATGCGAGAGATGATTCGTGGGCACAAAAGTTTTACTTACCACCCACGTCTGTCTAATCTGTCCCCCCGCTTTCCTTAATCTGTTTCCCAGTGATCGCTGTGACTGTGAACTCAAGCAACACCTCCAAAAAATAAACTACTCCATCAGTAGTCATTAGTCAACGGATTCTGTTGGCTGATTTATTATGAGAGAAAAATATTATTTATTAGCTGAAAAATACGACTTATAAGCCAAGCGAAAAGGTGTCTGCTTAAGGTGACAACAGCCGGTGAATGAATACGCGGTGCATGATGAGAAGACGATCGTGGTTGCACTTTGACCCCGTTCGCTGGTCTAAAACTTGACTGAAATTGGTGATTTTGTGAGAGAAACACTATAATAACTGGTTGATAAACAGTGTTTTATGAGGAGGAGCAACCGGCTGGTCTGGAAAAACCAGACCAGTGAACGGCACTTTGTGGTTGCTGGTGGTCTAGTGGAGCAGCACTTTGTTTTGTTTACGTTTTGGCGTGAAAAAGCAGCCCAACTAGGAGCATTTTATGCCAACCCAAGTCTGTGATGTGCGTATGAATGTATGATCCGTGGACGCGTGGTTGTTTTTTCTTTTAAAAAAAAATGCGTAGTTGTCGTGGTCCGTCGTCCCGTTTCCACCTTTTGTTTAATCCTAGTATAGTACTGCGGGTGCTCCGCTAGCATCGATGGCGCTGCCAATAACCTCGCAAGTCGTTTTGGGTAGCCTAGTTGCATTATATCTAATCCACTCATGCCCCATTGGTGATTCGGACACTAATTTACGTCTCCTCCCGCCATTTTGTAATCCTTTTTCTTAACGGTGGAGATAGACCTGCATATCAAATGATACTCACACACACACAGGTCAATGGAGCCAGAGTAAAGTACTATCACGATTCTCTCAAAAAAAAAAAATACTATCACGAGAGAGAGCTGCCAACTTTTGCCTGCCCGGCTAATGGCTAGCTAGGCTGTAAAAGTAAAACCACTGCCGTTACTTTTGTTTGAAGCTAGGCCTTGTTTAGATGACATTAAAGTTTCAAGTTTTTTCACTCTCTCTATCACATCTGTGTATGGAATTAAATGTAGGTAACGACCGAATCTTTTGCCGTGATCGAACAAAGCTTTAAATACAAATGAAACGATGTTTTTGATTACAAAAAAGATCTAGTGAGTGAGAGCTGGACACCTCCAACTACAACATTCTTTGCATCTGCCTGCCCCGGCTTTCAGCGTAACCCACTGCTGAACTGCTGAAGCCTCCGCCTCCCCGATTTGTTTATTCCCTGCAAATCCCCCCGGTGAGACAACGCCAATCCGCGCTGATCGGATCAACCGATGCGAAGATTTCCTTCTCGGCCTGCCCGGACCGGGCGAGCTGAGCTGTCCAAGTGGACTTCCACCCCATTCAATCATGGGGCTAGCTTGGTGTGACCTAAAGCTACTCACAAGACTGCGAGTGCTTATCTTTAGAATTTAAATAATGCTGCACTGATAGCAGTTAGGTTTGATGCCACGTCGACCGACCGAGCGGAATATTACTGTGCTGCTACCAGCACTGGTGCGACGGACGCCCTCTCTCTTGTTTTGTTTGCTTGCGATTGTTTTGGCCTGTCTCGCTGTGGCACTGTGGCAGGGCAGAGAGCGTCACTGTGACTGTGAGCTGCAGCGGCAGAGCTGACATGTGATGTGTGAGTGGCCTTGGTCGCGTCAGTGTTATGTGTGGTTTATGTGCTCATGGCCGCACCACGACTTGAGAGTATAATTGACACGGTGTAATTACTTGAGATTCATAAACAAACAAGCGTAGATACTACCAATGGAGATGGGATTGTTGAAAGCTTGGGTCCGTGCAAGTAGTAGTAAAAGAATGCTAGTATATTTTTGGACTTTTTTAGCTGTGGTCGTATCTCGTCTCGACTGAGTTTACAGGTAACCCCTTCCCCAGTTCCCACTATGAGTGTGAGGCTTGATTAGCACTCCCAGTAGTTTATTCCTAGTGCTACTAATTGTGTAGAGCCGCATGATTTGACAAATCACCATTGGTTTGGTGCCTTGTGACGAAGCCAAGACCTGCCAAGGAACCTGTTCGTTGGTTTCCACACCGAATAATTCCTTAAGGACCCGTTCGTTTGCCAGAGAACGGTTCTCAGGATTAATTCCTAGTCAGAATGCTATTCTATTTTATATAGTCTTTGATCATCTGGATTGATTCCTGGTGAAATCTAGCATAACCGAACGAGGCCTAAAGGTGTTACTGTAATCATGCTTCAACATGAACATAAACCTTTTATTTTATATTACTATGACAATGAAGGAATACTTATATCAAAGAAAAATGCCGGAACAGGGCGCGACCAAGTGGACCAAATGGAGCTGATTTCTCTGCCTGGGATCGTTTTTTTTATACTAGTCTTGATTGATTCGGATCATGAGGATTGAGGTTGAGGAGGGAACAGATCGCAGCCAGGATTAGCGACCTAATTTTTTACAACTTGGTCATTTTTTTTAAGAAAATTTACGTTTGACCTCCTGGGAGACGTAAACGCATTTTTGAACCCTGGGGATCGGCGCCAGGACTCATACGCCGAGGTAACACGTCTCGGCGCCACAGATCTTAGCTCCGAGGTGCCTGGCCGAGCACACCGCAGGCAGCCTACGTGGCGTTGACGTGGCCGATACCTCGGCGCCAGAATACATGGCGCCGAGGTCAGCGCCACAGATCTTGGTGCGCGAGCTCGGCGCCATGTATTCTGGCACCGAGGTACTGGATAACCACGTGTGGCCGCCGCAGCTCTCTCTCACGCTCTATCTCTCCCTCTCTCACGCTCTCTGTCTCTCCCTCTCAACGCCGCCGCCAGCCAGCCCCGCTGCCTCCCGCGCCTCCTCCGTCGGCTGCCGCCCGCTCCACCGCCCGTCGTCCCCCGCGCGCCGGTCACCTCCCCGTCCCTCTCCTCTCTTCTTCCTCCTCCTCCTCCTCCTCCTCCTCCGCCGCCCGGTGACGGCGGTGCCGCCTGTGATGTGAGGCCATGTCGTTCGCTCCGGCCTTGTCCCCTCCTCCCCTTGTGGCGGCGGCAC